GATTAGTACTTTGACGTGATCGAATCGCTTTCGAATCTTTTGTTCGAGATCGCGTAATCAATAAACACTTGTGTGTTTGTGTGTAGATATACGATATAATATGTATAATTATACACATATATAAGTATATATACAATTTAATAAAATCATTCTCTCTCTCTCTCTCTCTCTCTCTCTTTTGCGTAAATTAATAAATTTTTATTAAAATTTACAAACTCGTACATAGTGGAACGGATTATTCTTATTCTTAAGTATCAATTCTTCAGAATTAGCGATAAAGATTGACTTATTGATAACTCGTTAAATAAAACTGTTTTATTCAATTCAATTGAAAAAATAAAATATTAATCCATCACGTCAAAGTGTGTAATAATTATAACATAGGTAAGATGTTCATTTCTTAAATAATATAATCTATGATATTTTTGATCTAAATATACAGCCTAAGTATACCGAACACAGTCTAGATGTCTAAACCCACAATTTTTTTTCTTTCGGCTGTAGATAATAAAGTCCGAGGAAATCAAAGTGTACATATGATCTGTTCATGTTTAAACGTCAGGCAGACAATTGCATACTCAAAATTACACGAGATTTTTATACAGTCTACAGCAGAGACACGTTTTATACGCACGAATATAATACCGTCGTGTATGTAGATTAATGTTTCGCGAGTCTACATATCGTATCTAGACGTGTAGCGCGATTTATATTCGCACGAACATGCCGTGAAACGAGCAATTATTGTTATAGCCATTTTGTGCTGCACCGATTAATACCGCGTTTCACGATCATATCGATCTCGCAAAATTGATTCGCGCTCAGCAATCGTCGTTAGGAAATAACTTTTCGCTATTATACGATCTGCTGAGTCCTCGCTTGATTTATGCGCCACTCATTTATTTTACATGTATATGTGCAATTTTGAGCAATTTCTACATCTACGTACGACATATTAAGATTTTTGCCATTTTTTTAAACACATCACATATTTTATTCTTCAATCTAAGTATGTTATATACCAAAATAAATTAACACATTTGTTATTTCTTAAATATTCTCTCGAGGAAAAACTCGAGGATATTGTAAACTGAATTTTCACTATCCAATCGTCGACAAGATTTACCGCTTGCTTATGGCATCGTGCCGAGGTCGAGGAGGATCTTTTTTATTCTTTGCATGAGCGTTGAAGATACATAAAGTCACAAAGGTCGTGTCGAGCCACGTCTGTTCCGACGCGGTTCTTTGAAGTGGTTTTCGCTGGTCTACGAGTATTAAACGGGTTCACCTGATCGTAATGCAGGCAATAACCGTCGTTGTGGTGGCGGTAGATTATTCCGGACGAAAAAGCCGCGTGGCGGTGGGCGGAAGAGCCGAACGACCGGAAGCGGCGCGGTACATTCTCTTTGATACAAGCCGAGGCGTAACTTTTTAGAAGCTCGCAAGACGCCGCGTTTATGCACCCGGCCTACATGGTAGCGTAAACGTTTGACGGACAAGCGTACATGAAATTATAACTTGCCGAAAAGTTAGACGCGCGCGTGAGAATATAGTATAAACATACAAAAATATACGAAAGAAAAGAAATTTGTAGGTAACAATGTTTTTGTGAATTTTTATGAATAATTTTACAAGCTCATCAATTTAAAATGACGACCCCGATTACAGGCGTTAATCGCCGATGCAAAGAAAATACAGTAGTTGCGTCACGAAAGGCTGGGAATTACGTGAATAATTAATTAAAGTCCAATCTTGATCATGGCGCGGATCGCGTTTGGCGGACGTAAAAGTACATACCTCGCATGTAATATGTAATTAGTTAACCGCTCACGTCGTTACCATCGCTAATTGACACCGGTCGCGCGTTTGCCTCTCGGAGGCATCTCTAATTACCGGCGTTCGCGAAGATCGGATCGCGGAATCGGCGTGGCAGGCTTTGGTTTGCGTCGATTTGACCCGGCACGTGTTCCATAGCATGGCATACTAAGTATGCTAATTGCGAGTCGAGTAACGCTATATTCTTTGTTGCGGTTTGGCAATAATTAAATCGAAAGACTTTGTTAAAGAAAACATGGCGTAGAGTGTGGTCTCTCTACTGTGTGCTAAACAGAAAACGAATCCTATTGCGTTTAATTACATTCGCAATTTTACTTTAATTTATATTTGACGTTTAAATTTGGAGAAATTTAGTCGAATTAATTTAAAAGTATATACAAATAATGGGATACATATATTTTTTTATATAATTAATTAGTGTTAATCTTTCTGTAAAGTTTATTCAATTTAATTGTCAATAAAAGTCTAATATTCATAGAAACTTTTATTGTCAGATTGTTAACAAACAGTTTTAAAGTTTTATTCTCGCGCTTTTGCGTGCAATAAAATTAGCAATTCTCCCGTCCGCCGTGTGCGTTGAATCGATTAATTGAATTAACTCGATCGGGCCACAGACGTGACCGCGCGCGTGAATTGAGCGCAGTTTTGCCGAAAGTCAGGCCCGATAACACGATAACCGAGAGCGCTTCCGGAACGCAAACGGGGATAAATGCGGGGATCGATATCCGATCGCGCGCATAAATATATCGCGCCGCCGAATCGCGTCACGCCTCGATTAACTGTTTCGCACACGGCTCGCAATTTGTGCGCGAACGATTACGCTTACCACCCGCGGGATAATAATACAACGCGCCGCGCGAATCGCGAGATTTTCAACCCTCCCTCTCTTTTACTGCAGCGGCGTTGTCGGTAACGACAACAACACGGCGGCATTGCGCGATGTTTCTCAACGCGATATATGCTGCGCTGTGTAATTACGATAATCCGCTGATGATATAATTTACGAGGCCGCATCGCTACCCGCGCGTTTATCACACGAGCAAGAGGGAGAGGGGGAGGGTAATTTCCTGCTTTATTATAATAATATCCGGGGTAATATGCCTTCTCCTGCGTGCCGAAACCTTTTTATTTTTGAACACGCCGCTTCTCTTCGTTAACCGCCTCGTATCGTCATAGCGCGACGTTAATTATTTCGCGCACTCGTCGCGATCAGCGTTCTCGCACCGTTTTCTTTTTACCGATTCTATTATTGTAACTAATAATTCACTCGCAATAGGAAGAAATGCAATCGCGTTGCTTTTTGTGTAAGAATTCAGCGAATTTAGAGAGTTGCTTTTTTTTTTTTATAGAAATCCGAACCAGTTAAAGTGAGACTTATCTCCAGCAAAATGCTGGCGTTCGAAACGACTCGCGAGATATTCGACGAAATAATATCTCGGAGAGAAAAAGAGAAAGAGAAAAAAAGGAGAGAGAGAGAGAGAAAGAGAGAGAGAAAAAGAAAGAGAAAGAGACGAAAAAGCGCCGGTGATGCAGGGTAAGCGGACTTCAACCCCCATTCATCTTCAACGCTCGTTCCGGCCGAGGATAACGCTATTTCGACCGTAATACTTCTGTCGGAGAATCGCCCAGCGGAAAAAGTAGTTCGGTATTGCAGCTGCTGGCGCACGCGTACTTTCCGGTTCCTCGACAAATGGCAATAACGATGATAATAGCTCGCCGAATCGTAAAGAAACGGAATAAAAGAAGATTTTGAGGATTTTCTCGTTGATTTAGACGTAAATCCTCCATGGATCAACGGTTCAAAGATCAGCAAAAATTTTATTTCTAATAATCGACTTCCTTCTCTTATATACAAATAGAATATAAAAATTAATACACTGATTATTGCGAAATTTTCAAGTGCAGTGCGACATTTACGAGAAAAAATATTCATAAATATTGAAAGGCGTCGATCAGATCAAGCGAGAAAGATTCGAAAGATAGAAAATATGAAAAGACGGGATCGAGAGAATAATAAGAGCGTGATCAGCGAAGTGTAGCATATCCGCGATAGTAGACGTTGACGGGATTTCCCAGAGAAATGTACGACGATGTACTCCCACGCCCCCTCTCGACAGCGAACGAACCTAGCCAAACCCAACCAACACCCACCCGCCCAGCCAGCAGCAAGCTAACCACCCACCTGCGTTAGCCGCGGCCGTCGCTGACTCTGACGCCGCCACCGACACTGCCGCCGTCGCTCGGCCGTGTTTAAAGCTCCGCCAGTAAAACAATAAATTGCGCTCGAGAGAACAGCAAAGTGTAAGAGAGAGATCGAACAGGAGAACGAACAGAGAGAGCGCAAAGGAGGAAGAGAGACGAGAATCGTAGCGTATACTAGCGCGGAGGAAAGCGGTTTCTGTCAGCAATTGCCCCCCTCTCGTAAGAAAAAATGGCAGCTGCCGTGGCTGGATGGCGCGTACGAGACCATAATACCACCCTACTTCGATCCCGTGTACGTGTGGACGTCGAGCGCGCGAGCGCGACAGGCGGAGCGGGGTGGGCAGGCAGATCTGGGAGGGGTGGCAGGAGAGGAGGGCAAAAGGAAGTAGGCGTGAGGAGGAAGGGACAAGGACGCGCAGGAGAAAAGAAGAGGATAAACGGCGTGAAAAAAGCTCCGATGTGCGACGAAGAGGGACAACTGGCTCTGAGCAGAGACAACTACAATGACGACGACGATGATGACGAAGACGACGAGGACGAGGACGACGACGGCGACGACCACCACCGGCTGACCGGGAGAAACTCCTCCTGTGGACGTGCGAGCAATGTTTGTATGTATCGTCGGCTCCCGGTTGGCAGTTTCGGTCTGACATAGACGCGAGAGAGACAAACGCAGAAGGTGAGAGAAAGAACAGCTGCGGTAATAATGTTCGGCCGAACCTCGAAGTGAGGGAATACGCGGGCGGAGCTGGGTGCTGATTCCGTAGGAGGAGCGTGTGGTTGAACCGCCTACCGACACCCGTGGATGCTCGGCCCGATATCCTATCCTCTCGCTCTCACTCATGTTCCACCGTTCCTCTGGCTCGTCTATGTTGCCGAGCCCGAAGCCCGAGATCGCGTGGGGGATGGGGGCCGAAACGAAGAGGCGACCGGCGGTGGCGCGGGTCAGTCTGTCGGGCAACCGGTCGGTTGGTTGTACCTTGGCACTACCCGCGCTGCGTTCCGTTCGTGCGACCCAAACGATACATCAAGCGACTCACCTTTTCGCGCGCGAAGACAGTAAAGCAACTGTATTTCCGCGCGCCTTCAAGTTTGTTGAGTGTCTATTCGATGTGTCTATTCGATCATTTTTTGGCGAGTGTTCGCAACCTTAATTAATAACCCTGATGATCAAACGTCAGAAATAGCCAATTTAATTTATTTTAGTGTTGTGCTCCATATATATCACGTTGCACACTTTAACAAGACCCAATTTAGTTTCGATTGTCCGACTATGTTCTATTGGTCACGTGACACACACGGTCGACCAATCCGTTTGAAGAACTCCGCTTGAATTCGTTTACACGCGCACGTGAGCGCACGCACACAGCCTTGTTCTCTCGTGTACGCATGTTGACGACGAAAAATCGAAGTTGACTCTCGCGAACGGTGGCGAGAATGCACATGTTGTTTTATAGGTACTGGCATATCCGGGTTAAAGACCGGTATTGTTTTCTGGACAACGATTATCAATATCAGGATCATTTATATTTTTGCAACGCACGACGTCTGTAGCGACGTGACGACAAAGAAAAGCTCTCGATCGGTTTCGAGACTCGCCTCGACTAGTTGTTCTTCAATAGAATCCACGTGGCCCAGGAAGAAGCAGCGAACGAGGTGATGTTGCTGGAGTCGCGAGGCCTCGCCGGTCGGAAGAGAAACGGACTGACACTGACCTCGTTCGGCGGCAGTGGCGGTGGCGGTGGCGGAGGTGGTGGCGGTGGTGCCGGAGGAGCCGGCAGCGAGGAGGACGACGAGGAATCTCGACATCACCTCTACCTGGGCAGAAAGATGCAAAGCGACGGCACCGCCGCCCCTGCGGTGCCACCGGGACTGTCGGGATGTGCTGGCGATGACGGCGACGAGAGCTCGAGCCCGTCGCCGAACAGCAGTCTTCTCAATAATATCAATAATAACTGTAACTCGAATCGACAATGCGCGACCGACTTTAGCATCGCCGCGATTATGGCGCGTGATTCGCGTCAACAGCAGATGCAACAACAACAACAACAACAACAGCAGCAACCACAAGCACAGCAACATGTTCACAGACATCCGCAGCAGCAGGCCGTCGGCGGTGGCAAGTTGCATCAGCATGGTGAGTAAAGAAACTTTCTAAAAAAATCTTAACAATCCAGACAATGCTTGTCTAAAGACGAAACGTCATCCTTGAGTCTCTCTTTCTTTTTTATGCTGTATATTTCTTTTGTATTATTTTATATTATGTTTTCATTTATATAGATATGTATATATTCAATGGAGATGATATCAGTATTCTCTTAAATTTCGTGTATATTTTATTATGTCTTTCGTTTAATTAATTAAACAGCTTGATTGTCTTATTTTGATTTACGAGACGCCTAACAAAATATGAGTCAGTAACTCTTCATGTAAAATGAAACGAGCAATTTGTTCTTTCAGTATCCAACATGTATTAAATATTATCACGCACGTTACAATTTTAGCGTCGTTTGTTCTAAATTCGATCTCATTTGTTTCTCTGACAATGTTGTAGTTTGGTACTATAAATTCACGTCGTTCTCTTGGCTCGCAAGGACAGTAGCGTAATTGACATTTTACGTCAGTTGTATCAACGGTCAATTACCTGCTTATTATGTTGCTTCAACTCTATCTTATTGCTAGAAAGTGCTTTAAAGAGAAATGCAGATCATTAGACAAAGCTTCCCCGAAAATTTGAACATCAAAAATCAAAATCTCAAAATGTGTATTATATGTAATTAATTTTAATATTTATTTTTTTAGCGCAAATTGTTTTACACGTGTTCTAAACATTAATATGCGCAATCATTTTCTCAATTATCTATCAATTCATCGCATTTTGTGACAGTTGTGAAATTTCGTTTCTCTACTTTGGTCACATTGTTTTTCTAAAATACTTCGGTACTCATTAATAGCGATCTGCAATAGCTTCGTTACACTATTATCTTTATTGTTATCGTTTTTCTCGTGAGCGCTTCATTGTCGCGCTCCAGTATGATATTGCGCGAGTCATAATTCTCTTCATGTGCGGCGCACCTCTTGCCGTGGCACATTAACTCGAAGAAAAATCGCTCACCCCTTTCGGTACGGCCATCCATAACGTTTAATGCGGCTATTTCCGACGAAAATGGAGCGGCCAGTCTATCGCGCGCGATTCTTGCGTCCTCCCATCTTCGTGTTCGTCGTCATGGCACATTATTTTTATTGTCCCGTTAAAAACTTGCCAATTATTTTTTGGTCATTAACGATCACCGCGCGTTTTGATACTTTGATATTGTATATAAATATATTGTATATTAAATATATATATATATATATATATTTAATATTCAAACTGTCGCTATATACGTATATCAACACACGCGATCAAAGTTTTTGAACAGATGATTCGTAGACTACTCCTTGAAAAAAAAAAAAAAATGAATTAAACGTGTATCAATGTCGAGAAACAAAATTACAAGTTTCTTCGACGAGGCGTGAATTGCGCGGGAAGTTTCTCAGTCTTGACGTTTTCCTCGCGATTAAATATTAATTCCGGAAGCTGCTCTCGATGACGCACGTCGAAACTTGGACTATAATTATCTGTCCGCCGTCGATTGTCAACTGTGTAAAGCTCCCTATTTCACTCGATGTTATCGCAAAAATTTTAACATGAATAATATCGCGCCGATAGCATCTCTTTGAAATGCCACATCAATAATTAGCGCGAAATCGATGATAAAATAATTATGTAACAATTGTTGCGATACACTGTTTTTCTACGTGTTACGCATACACTCTTTATATTAAAATATACATTTATAAATTCATCAATTTCCATAAACACTATAATATTACATCATTAAGTTATTACCGATAGAAAAAAATTTACGAGAATTTACAATTTGAAACAATTAACCGCAATATAATAAATACAACAGAAATTATCACTTTCAAAAAAAAATTGCTTTACTACTTTATTATGTGCTCGAGGTACATCTGCCGGTATTCGCGTAGGATATTTGCTTATTAAAAAAGATATTCCCGCAATGAAAAAAGGGTTTTGAGGCGCGACGAACTCGCCGTTGCGTTTTAATTCACGCATTTGCCGATGTAAAAATGTCGACGAAGAAAATTACAAGCTGGCACGGCGCTCTAATGAGGCCCTCTAATATAGAAATTGTTCCGAACTGTCATTATCGAGATAAATGGTCGACCAAGTCCTCAGCGCGGTACTGGGAACGAAAGAGAATCGTTTTTGCGGAGAAACGGAATAATGACCCGTCACTTTCGTTTCTTTTAACGACCGAAAAAGGCGTCCAAAGCGAGAATTTGCTTAAGGAAGTCACTCTTCGTAATCTTTGTCGCACACATTTGGATAGTTCTATCTCGTAAATTGAGGATAAATCGATTTAACATAATATACATATTAGAATTATTCAATATACACAGCAATTACTACATAGTAAGCAGATTATTATCATTATTTAAAAAAAATGTACATTATGTGTAATTGTACACTATATTTTGAAAGAATTTAATAGGTATTTAAAATAAATTTTTCTCTCGCTCTCTTTCTTTTGTATAAAACCAGGATTATAAAAACCGAAAGAATATAAAATACATATACTATATGTGCGTACAAGCTTCGAATATGATTTTTAAATTAAAGATAAGAAAAGTTGTTTCATATAACAGTTATAGTGAGATTTTTTTTTCTCAGCAGTTCTGCTTTCTATATGTACCTCCAGCACATGTTACCTTATCGAAATGATCGATTCAGAAATGTGAGCAAAGTATACGTTTCTATTCTAACAATTTGTATTCACACGTATTTGTTGGCTTTTACATCGCGATAGTTGAATGATAATCTCGACACAGTTTTGTCCGTAATTTACTATAGAAATAGACTTCATTGGGTATTGATCAAGAAAACTCAAGCGAGATTTATCACTGCGATAAGGAAACGTTGCATTATTCAGGAGCACATGTCGCGCTTAATTGAAAATGTTATATGTCACGCGCGTATTTTACTTAGAATCACAAATTTCGATTAACCGCGGCCAGCGTCGAGATTTGAGCGGATCCATTAAACGAAACGGCGAGTGAAACAACTCGTGCTTCGAGCTCGATGCTTGACGCTGACTATCATAAATTGTTACCGTCACGCTAATGAATTATTTAACGCTCGTCTCACGCCTGTAAGATCCGAGTCGTGACTAGAAACGCTCAAATTTAGGTTTATCAATACTCAATCTTCAGAGAGTGATCCTATTCACTATGCGTATCAGTCAATAATAGAGAATAATCTAAGAAAAATACATATAATACATATTTATGTTATGTATAAAAACAATACATTCTTAAAGGTGAAGAAACTGATAAAACAAACAGATAAAGCAAACAACATACCGAGGTTATAAACGAAAGAAAATTGTTACTACGACATTTTGAATACTTTATCGTCAAACATGCGTGTTTGAGTATACTAATTACTGTAATATAAATAATTATATAACACTGCTAAAAACAATTACTTTTTAATATTGTCTACTTGCGGCAAAATGTTTAGAGAAAAATGTTTCGTGCTATTCATTACGAAGCATTAGAGATTTGATAATAAATTATCCTATTCGTCTCGTTGGTACGGTAATGGCTACCGGAAGGACATAATTGACACCTTGACGGTGTCTAGTAAAATACACAGCTGTAATTATGGGCCCAGCGCTGAGAGGTGAGGCCCGAAAAACCCGCTCTCAGACGTGTATGCTCTCGGTCCTGCCAGGTGAGGTGTCCCTATCGGAATTCTGGAAACGACCGTGGCTCTCCAAGCTCAGCCAGACGTCCGAACGAGACTCGATGGTGTTCGGTTTCATCATCGCGTATCTTGGACGCCCGCGGCGAATAATCGCCCACGAAGATCCTATGCGGCGCGAAATTTACGGTCGGACTCGCTGCAATTCACCCACGGAAACGGGCCGCCATTCCCAAATAAACTCCGGCAAACGGCGGCATGAATCGGGCACTTTCCGCGCGCGCGCACACACACAGACACACATGTACACGCACGCACGCACGCACGCACTTACATATGCACGTGCGAGTGAGTAAAGTAAATCCGTGATCCCGCGAAATTTGTCATAACGCAAAATCTTGTCGAAAACTTTTCTGTACCGCAATCAATTTTCATTGAACAAAAGTCGAACAAAATGGACTTTGACAAGTAAAGTTTTTAAACGCACAAAAAGTTGTTAAAAACACAAAAGAATCTTAGGCAACAAATACTCTAGTTCAATTGTTAACATATTGTGATTGTAAATTCTGTCCTAAGTTATCGACTACAATTTAACACAAACGTCTCTTTCCTATTGTAAGAGACTATACTCTGGACACATTTCCCGTGTCAAATTCATACTTTAAAACATAGATGAAACCATGTGGGAATAAATTTGTAAAATATATGTTTGCAATTATTCACAATCAATCGAACTCACCAGTCACTGTAAATTTTGTGAGAAACAATGTAACGTGTCATTCCTAGACAAGACTTGTGGAGCATGGCTGTATATTGTCATGCAAATCTACGGTGTTGAACCTTGACGCCACATTTGTTCGTCGACGATTTCCTTCGCACCTTGATTCTCTTCCGTTCGGGCGAGAAATTTAAATAAGATATTAAAACGAGAAAAGAGAAAGAGAGTGTCACGCTGCGTCATCGAACGACGAAATCGACGGCCGTTAGGCGAGATTTATTTTTACTATCGGCCGTCGAGCACACATTTGCGTTAAATTCGACGTGTTACGCTGTTACCAAAGGTAAACCGGTATTCACACCGGACATAACTTGAAAATTAAGCGTGGCGCGCTATCGGACGCGCTTAACATTGTTATCTCAGCATGTTCGAAGTTTGTTTGAGTTTGCTCGAGGTCGACGAGTGCGCGATACAAACCGAGAGGCCGGCGGCAAATAATCACCGAATTCAGATCTGGGACGTCGCCATACTTTTTCCGTTGTTGTTGAGAAACCGCGTACGGATGGTATATTCAGAAGCGAATTTATAGTTGCGAACGTCCTTGGGGCAGTCGCAATGCGGCGGCCATGATAATCGAGTAAATCGT